CTCCAGACCAGGGAAGGACATGGAGTTAGTGCCTTTGAACTTCAGGCCAAAATCAAAACCTTCTTCCTGTTCTGCTTGAGGACGCCTGCTCTGGGCCTGGGCTAAGCCTACATGACTGCAGGTTTCTCCTCTTCTTTTCCTCTTGGCCTCCTCTGCCTGTCAGGGCTAGCATCAAAAGAGCCTCAGCTGCAAGCCTCTTTTTGCAAAGGGCCAGAGAGTGCATACTTCAGTTCTGTGTTGTTTCTTCCTGTCCTTTTCCTAGCCGTCTTCTTTCCTTCCTTTTAGAAAACAATGCTTAAAAACATGCAAATTGTTCTTAGTGCCAGAGCCATAGGGAAAACCGCCCCACTGGGTGCAGTTGGCCAGCCTCGGGCCCAGCGCAGTGTCCTGGCTGCACAGCTGACCCACCTGGAGAGCTTTAAAGAGCTCCAATGGTGACAGGACCCTTTTCTGGCCCTCTCTCCCCCCAGCACAGGAGGACGCACCCCGGCCTATTGCTGTGGTAGCATGCTGGGCCCAAGTCTCAGCTTTGAGAGGGGAGGCAAGTACCTCAAGCCTCAGGGAGCCGCTGCCTCTCTGGCCGGTGCATCAGAATGAGGCAGCAGGTGGAAGCAGACCTAAGCCCGCCTGGACTGGGAGCCCAGTGTGGCTCCCAGGGCCCGCTGACCGTTACACAGCATCCCTGCACACGGGCCTGGCTAGTACAGCGTGCCCGCCCTCCCTCTCTGACTCGGGTTTTGCTGATGGGATGGGCCCTGGGGCTGGAAGGTTTTAAAAGCCTCCCCTGGTGGCACGACACACACCAAATAGGAACCAGGCAGCTGGGTCCACAGCGCTGTCCTGCAGCGATGCCCCATGCCCCCTTCACATCTCCTCCCTTGTTGCCCTGGGAGCAGGGACCGGGCCTTCCCTGCTTCCGGGCCTCTGGTACCTGGCACTGGTCCCGTACAGAGAGGACCACATTGCATTTCTGTACAAAACTCCGCACACCATCCCAGAAATGTTCTGGGATGACCAGCTGTCCTGCTGTGCCCAAACTGTCCCATTTTTAGCACTTAAGTCCCCTGTGCCCAGGGAATCCCTCAGTGCCAGGTGGGATGGGACACTGGTCACCATACATGGACTCAGGGCCCAAGTCTAGGCCTGGCCTGTGGCGCAGCCTGGAGCGTGAGGGAAGGGCAGCGGCCGGTGTCTGAGGTACCGGCGCTTCTCGCTCTGCACAGCAGGCCGGGAGGCTCTCAAGGCCCCAGACCCAGGCCCCACCCCAGACCAGCCACCTCGGCGTTGTGGGGCCAGAGCTGTGCAGGGGGGATGTTCCAACCTCCAGGTGACAGTGACATGCCGCCAAGGCTGGAACTTACTGCACTGGATTCCAGGCAGGGTCCTTGGATTTCCCTGGTGGGTGCACGAGGCCAGGGACCACACACGGCCTGGCCTGGTTGTTGCTGGGGACAGACCAGTGAGAGGCTGACAGTCAGGAGCGGATGCGGGCTCACGGGGATGCTCATGGAGCCCCGGCTTCCTTGACGGGAGGTGAGGTGTGGCTGCAGGCGGCGTCCGTGCCACCCACCCCCTCATCTATCTGTGGCCTTCCAGCACCGCTAGGGGCCAGCACAGTGCACGGCACAGGGAGAGTCTGGGAGCAGAGCAGTGGCCAGAATGCACAAGGCCCGGGGCCCTGGGTGTCGTATCTGACACACTGGGGCTGGTGATTCGCTCCCTCATTCCCTGACAGCAGAGAGAACAGCCAACTGAGAAGAGGCCAGCCCGGGCTCACATTTCACCCTCCCAGCAACTACACAGGTGCTCCATAGAATAGACGAGAAAACTGAGGCTCTGGGAGAAGAGCTGGGAGAGCATTTCTAGGGTTGAGAGGTACCAGGCAGTGTTGCACCTGGCTGTTAATGGCAGCTCTCCTGGCTCAGAGAGGTTCAGCAACAGCCCTAAGGTGCACCGCCAGTGTGCGGAGGAGCCCAGCCCTCCACCTGAGATACTGCCCTAGCCTGCACGTCACCAGGCCCCAGACTAAAAGAGAAAGGGAAGGAGAGAGGTGGGCAGCCTTTACAGAGCACCAGCCGCTCTCTGCATGGCCTGGTTGCCATGTTCTTTCTTCACCGCCCCAGGCCTTGAGGTCAGCCCTGTATGTTTACAGAAGAGGAAGCTGAAGCTGAGGGTTAAGTGACGTCCATGATCTGGACCCATGTCCATGCTAGTCTTGATGGGGTGCAGGGCGGACTGTCAAATGAGCACAGAACTGAGACATTACTTACACCCTCTGGGCCTCAGTTTCCTCATGTGTGCATGAAAATAATTCAACCTACTGGCTCTCCTGATGGTGGGATGTGCCAAGAAGCCCAGATGAGGGAGGTGAGATCAGTAGAGGGGAGGAGATGAGGATGGAGCAGCGCTTCCAGGGGCCGTGAGAGCGAGCCACCGACTACACACACCCTGGATGCCACTCCAGGGACAGCGTGCACCCCTCACTGTGCTCTGCGGGGACCCTGCGGCTTCAGGCTTAATGCAGCTCACTGCATTCGGTCTGAGAAGCAGGGAAACAGCTACTGTGTTTTAGAGCCATTTCTATAGAAACCACAGGCCCACACTTCCTTTCCACTTTAGAAAGGAACACAAAGGAGAGCGAGAAGAGTCAGTGATGGTGATGAGCTCCAACTCAGCTGAGGGGCTCTCTTGTCCATGCATCTCACCCCCCCAGAGCATATCACCTCACTGGTGTTGTGTACACACAGTGTGTGTGTGTGTGTGTGTGTGTGTGTGTGTTTGGTTCATCTTCCTCCACAGGGCTTTAGAATCAAGTCAATTGAACAAAGAGCAGCACAATCATCTCACACTGGGTGGCCCTTTCCGATCTGATCTCCTCCATGTAAGGTGCCTGTCACCATCAAAGCCCGTCTTGCAGATGGGACACAGCTGGAGCTGCTCACCCAAAGCCTGGCTGCGAGCAGGGACACGGGCCCAGCCGCCCCGTCTGCCTCCAGTGAGCTGCTCTTCCAGAGCCCACAGGCCCACTGCCACAAACTTCCTAGACAGCACCGTGCAGTGTTCAACCAGGCTTCAGTAACTGCCAGTGACAACAGCTGTCCTTGTTCTCCAGAAGAAAACGCGCTGGGACCCCTGACTGAAAGACCCCTGACCCCTCTGCTCCTGTGGCCCGAGAAGCCGTGGGTATGCAGGTCAGGGCTGCACACATGCAGGCAGAACTGGCCTGCGCTCGTGATGACCGGCTTTGTTCATCTGACAGGGGCTAAGAGTTCACCGTGTCAGTGAAGACAGTCTGTGCCACAGCCTGGGTACACATATTGAGTCTGGAGTGGTCTGGGCGGGGGGAGCTGATGGGACACCTGCTGGGGCCAGCATTGCTCCACGCATGCCCCGGGCACCAAGAAGCCCAGGCGCTCCTGCTCTGCCAGCCTGGAGCCCATCCCCTGAGGTCAGCTTGGCACGTGGGGGCCCCCGTTTGTGGATGGAGACATGCCTGCAATGATGCTGGATTTCTTCAGGTTCAGGATCACAAAGCCCAAGTCTGTCCGCCCAAGCACAGCACTCTGGGACTGAGTCCCCTCCCAGCGTGCCTGGCATGGCAGGAAGGAGGATCGACACGGCACTGTGGCCACCTCCAGGACCTGCACCTGGCCCATGGCAGCAGCCCCAGGTGGTCTTCAGGTGGCCCAGAGGATGGGCGTCCCAGTGTGACATGCAAGGCCCGCAAAGCTGTGCCAAGCCAGGAAAGCGGCCGGTGGGTGGCAGAGCTGGGAGTTGGTCTCTGGGTGCTTTTGACCGTGGACAGCATGCTGGTGCCTGCAGGTCACGGCGTGTGGCAGCTCACCCTTATGCCACCTATTATGTGTCCCAATAATGAAGTTAATTTGGGACAGGAGATAGGTGAAAACTGCTTTGCTTGACCTCTCACCCTTTTCAATGACCCTCACGAAAGTCTAGAGCCTGGCCACAATTTTCACTTCAAGTGTAACTGCTAGAAAATGGGACCCAGGGTCCCAGTCCTCTCTAGCAATAAACTAATTCAGCACTTAAGTCCTTGTGGAACAAAGTCGGGCACAAATTTAAAAAAAAAAAAAATCTGTTCCCTTCCTATGCTAGGGCCTGTCTACAGTTGACCCAGACTGCAGAGCCTGGGAACTTTGCCTCTGTTCCCTTAACTCAGGAGCAGTGGACAGGAGGGCTGAAAGCAGGTGAGGACAAGGAAGAGGCAGAGAGAACATGAGAGCCTGCATGCGCACGTGTGGAGCCCACATTATGGGGCAGGAGGAAAGGGCAAGAGGGCTCTGCTAATGTCCATTCAGAACTTCCACTGAATCCTGGGGAAGCCTGAGCCTTGGACTTGTTACCTACGAATTACAGGACATAGTATGAGGGCTGTGGATCACACACTAGCCTGGGGGCTCTGGGGCCACCTTTGGCTGCTGGACTGAGAATAAGGTCCCTCCCCTTTCCTTTATCTTCCTAGTGGAATGGAACCAGCGCTATGTCTAGAAATAGAAGGTATCTGTAAAAATAATAATCAAAGTCCCAAACAAGTTCATTCCGGTTCTGAGCTCTTGTTGAAAGGAAACAAGATTAGCAAGTGTTAAGAGATGCTAAAAATATACTAGTGCTAAAAACAAACTACACCCAGACTTTCTGCAAGACACGATCTGATGCACTGAACGCGCACTGAGGAAGGAGAACTTTCCAAGTAAGAGCCAATGTTATTCAAAGGCTGTGTCATGGGCCATTGAGAAGCACCTCACACACCACCTAGATACCTTTGAACACCGAGTACCACTCACATGTTTGTTCTGGCAGTGACAAGACCAAGGCTTAGGGGGTCCCTGAGGCCAGGCAGGGAGAAGGAAGTCACGGTGGCCCCAAAGGGCACTGCTGCCCCATGGCCTTCCTCATGCAAGTTTGGGGACGGGATGCTGAACACACAGCTGAGGATGGGGCTCCCAGAGGCCTCCCTGTCCACACCCCGAGGATGTTACCTGGGCGGGAGCACTGCAGGACAGATGAGCCAGGTCTGCGATTCTGGCTGCAGCCCGGGGATCGCTGGAGCTGATCAAGACCGGAGCGCTGATTTCCATGGAGTGCCTGTGGCTTGTGGCTTGGGAGGACTTGTGTGTCACACTGAGCGCGGTGAAGGAGTGGCGCTTCTTGGCATTCTTCTTGCTGTCCACACGCCGCTGAAAGGCACTGACCGCCCCCGTACTGCTTAATGTGGGTCCTGGGGGCACACTGGATGCCGCGCCAGGGTCAGAGGGCAAGGGGGCGTGGCAGCCAGATGCAGCCGCTGGGCATGGCTTGTCCATCTCAATGAGCTGCTTGGCTGAGTCGTTGAGCTAGGTGAGAAAGGCAGAGGAAGGCCTTGTTAAATAGAGGTCACAGGCTCCAGCCTGCTCCCTGTGCTCACAGCCTGCGTCCCCCGTTAAACCCGACAACGTGTTCATGGTCCCGCAGATCCTCCCAACGGGGCCTCCCTGTGAATGGCGCCAGGCCCAGACACAGCAGAGGCTGCGGTGACATCTGTAGATTTTACTGAAATGGTCTCCGGGGCAGCTGTTTTTGTCTGTCCCAGGGTATCCCCAATCCTTTCCCGGGGTGCCCGTTTCTGGGGTATGAGGTGCAGACCTGCAGAGGGCATGGGACAGAAGGAGGCGGCAGGAACGCCCAGCCGTGGGCCCGCACTCGCCACGGTGACAGGCCCTGGCTTGCCTGGCACAGTTCTGGCCACGCTGGCAGGAAAAAGCAAGGCACGTGACCAGAATGCCCTTTCTGTCCCCTGGCGGGGACCGTCCAACCTCCTGAGCAAGAAGCATGGATGCATCCCGGGTATGGACGGCGCCCCACGCACCCCCCTGCCTCACGCGCTGGCAGAACGCAACCTTCCCCACACCTAGGCCGCTTCAGAGGGAGAGTCCTCAGTTGCTGGCAGAGCCCTCTGCCTGAGGGGTCAGGGGAGAAGCAGAACTCGGGGCCCTCCTGGGATGTGCGCACACCTGCAAACCAGCTGGGGACAGAGAGGAAGCCAAATCTCAGACCCTGAAGTGCCCAGAGCTCAGGGCTGAGGGCAAGGCACAGTCCGAGGCGCCGGTTTAGGGAAGGGGTGAGTTAGCAGAGACCCCTGCGGGTGGTTTGAAGCCCTCCTGGAAACGGGAGCCAGCTGTGGATGGGCAGGTCACCTGGTGCGGGAGCCACACCCATGTCCTCAGCTGAGCCGGGGAATGTGGGTTGGAGCTGTGGGCGGGGGGGCAAGCCAGGAAGGGCCACGTCCCCACCTGCAGGGGAGTCTGGATTAGGAAATGTCCCTCAGGCCTGGGACGGCAGAGGAAAACCCCCAGGTTCTCACGCAGCATACACTACTAGGGCTTGCAGCTGGTGGCATCTTGATGAGTTAATGAAAATAATAATAAAAAAGGGCCCCTCTGAATTTAAGCAGTGAGAGCGGGGGAGGCTTCATCTGCACAATGCCGAGTGGATCAGACGCGCAGCGGTGCTGGCTGTCCAGCCAGGCGAGGCCACCGCGCTGTCACCATTTCCATTACAAATACCTGCCTTTCCGAGGGAGGTTTCGAAAAACTCACTGTGGGCCCCAAAATGTGTGATCTAAATCCAGGATTATTGCCTTTGAAACGTTTCTTCCAACCAGGCTCAGCTGTTTTGCTCTATTTTATGACCGTATTCCTTTGCTTCCTCAGCAGTGCTAGCTTGCAAGCAGACCAGCAGCTGTTGCCTCCCTGGCCCTCCGTGGGGTGCTGCGAACACCCCAGGGCTGGCCTCCTGGAGCCCAGTGTTTGGCACCCATGCCGCAGGGCCAAGAGGAACACAGAGAAGCAGGAAGCAACAGGGACAATGCCCTTCATTTACGGGCATCGGAGCACAGACTCCATACTTTCTGCCATGTGCCTCCATGTGGAACATTATTACACAGACACGATGGCACCAACAGTGCCCAAGGCTGGGTGAAAACAACTCCGCTCTTCCCCAAAGCAGCCAACCTGGAGTATGAGGCACCGACAGAGCACTTCTGGAACACACGGAGCCCTGATCTGAGCCACTGCCACAGCGGCCACGGGCCCCACCGCAGCTCACCAACTGGCACGCGGCTCACCCCACACCGCTCAGTCCTCCTCACAGCTCCCTGGCAGGCTGCTCATGGCCAACCACGCTGCCTCCTCCTTGATGGAGACCAGGGTGTGGGGGAAGCCCGCCTTTCTCCGCCATGCCCATGGGCACTGAGAGGGACGGCCAATGAATGTCCATGAAAGATCGGTGTCTTAGCAAGCTGCGGGCGCCAGGAGGGCTGCTTCCAAGGGGTGACTCTCTGCACGTCCATCAGTGGCCTTAGAGTCCCTGACATCTCTGCAGGAGGCAAGGGACATACCAAGGAAAGACCCTCCCAATAGAGAGAGAGTTCAGTTTTATTTTCTTTACTGAACCTTTGCTTCGTGACAAGCAGCTTCTTGTTGGAGCTGTATATACATGGGATTAGCCAGTGATTTGCCACCCTCAGGTGGACAGCCCCGTCCAGGCTTCGAGCAACGCCCTGGCCCCAAACAGACCATGGGCCTGCAGAGTCCATGCTGATTGCTGCAACTCTGTGGCTGGGTCCCTGAAGTGACACTCAGTGTTGTGGGGAGCTGCCATCATCTTCCCGGCAAGCTCTGATTAGCCACGTTGCATGACGCTCAGGGCTGGGCCTGGCAGCTGCTGCTGCCACAGCCATCCCAGTCCACATGGCCCATGACTGCAGGACACCCTCACCCACCAGCATCTGCCCGAGACAGCAGCTCCTGACTCACACCCCTCAGGTGCAGCCACGATTGGCCATTTCCTCATACTCCAAACGGGGGCAGTGTCGGCTTGCCTGCCTGCAGCCGTCCACACTGCAGGAAAACCAGATGGCTCTGCTCTCCCGAGCAGGCTGCAGCCCCGCCTCGTTGGCCTTGGGGTCCTGGGGGGAGGGCCGAGGAAGCAGGGAACGTTGAAGTCAGCCCTCTTGTTCCCCCCACAAGCAGAATGCTAGAACATTCTGTGAGTGGCTGCTGACTGCCAGCTATGAAGGGTGGTACGTGGTGGGGAGAACGAGTGCTTCCTGGCATTCTGCCCCAGGATGCTCCCTGCTCCCCACCAAGATGCCTGTCCAGCAATGAAAGAGCTCGGCTTCTCCCTCTGAATGTGGCTGGTCACCTAATCTGTTTCTCCACCCCACACCTAGGCATAGACGGCAACCCCCCCCACACAAATGGTGATTAACCAGTGCACCCAATAACTCCCATTTTGACTGTTTTTGGACGGCAATAGAAGACATTTCCAACTTCCATACAAAATGGAAACAAAGTAGTGACACCAACATTACGTCTTGCTGGGTTTGTTCATGGATCCCGAGGACAGTCATTGGCCTGCTCCCTCCCACTCTGCGGGAGGCCCGCTGCTGCAGCCAGCCCCAAATCCAAACACTCAACCGCCACACACATATCCTCTTCCTCGGGTCTGGTGTTGCGGGTGGGACAGTACCGGTCAGTCATGGTCGCATCCTAGTCAGGGACTGTGTGTCTGTCCCTGGCTCAGGACCCTCTTCCCAGGACTCTGCCTCACCAACTTCATCAGCTCAGATGTGATCTTCCTCCACACCACTCTTCCCTCCAGCCACAGAAACATCTGGAAATGGAAGACCTGAAGGGTTTCTTCTTTCCATTGTTCAGACAGTTCCATATGAAGTCATCTTAGAGTTATTGGGTGGCATCCTAGCTGCATGTGAATTTGGGGACCAGGTTAAATAAAGAAGACTCTCACCGCAGGCTCACATGGGCCCTGAGGCCCCCTTGGTGAGCTTGAGGCTAGCAAGGGATTTGGGTACTTGGCCCAGGAAAGTGCTAGAGCTGGGGGCCTGGGCAGAGCACGGTTACCCAGAAATCACCAGTTCTGGTCAAGAGGACTTTAAACTGAAGGTAATGTGGGAGGGAATTTTTAAAGAAAGAATAAGATTGGAAAACCAGGCATACAAGCTGATATCAGATATAACATGCAAGAAAGGACAATGGGTTGAGGAGTGCCCTGTAGTTCTCAAGCAAAATAACAGGGAAGCCCCTCCATCCTAACCCCGAGGTAGGAAGTACAGCCTCAACACATCCGCACCCCGGAGCGATGGGCTGGTGATGGAGACCGGAGGGAGGGAAGTATGTCTTCCCTTTCTGGGAAATCCAGGAAGCCAAAGAGGGGAGCGTGCTGGAAGCCAGGTGTCAATTTAAAATGAAGGCAACCAACGGATACACGTGTACAGCAAATACTTGCTGAGCACCTGCCGTGTCCCGGGCTCTGCTCTAGGTGCCGGGGGGTGCTGAGGTGAACAACAGGGGCTGCTCGAATAAAGCTTATACTTCCCTGTGGGGGTGAACTACTTAGGGAGCTTTGTAAAGATGCAGATTTTGGCTCAGTAGGTCTGGGATGGCACCCAAGTTTCTTCATGTCTACAAACTCCCAGGAGATACCACTATTGCTCGAGCCAGACCCTCTTTGACTAGAACATGGATGGCTTTGCAACCTCGGCTTCACAAGGAGACACTCTCCCCACAGAATAGCCACATAACCAGAGACAGCAGCTTTTGTTGGCATTTGCCTTTAATGCACAGCTCCCACCGCAGGTGGGCTCAGTAGAGCACAGGTCACCATGCCTGGTAGTTGGCCTATTATTCCGGAGAGCTTCACAAACTCAGGAGTGGATGAAGAGTGGCCTTTACCTGCCTCAAACTTTTTTTTTATTTAAGATTTTATTTATTTATTTGACAGAGACACAGCTAGAGAGGGAACACAAGCAGGGGGAGTGGGAGAGGGAGAAGCAGGCTCCCCGCTGAGCAGGGAGCCCGATGAGGGACTCGATCCCAGGACCCTGGTACCATGACCTGAACCGAAGGCAGATGCTTAACGACTGAGCCACCCAGGTGTGCCCGCTGTGTCAAACTTTTGTCAGGAAAAATCTCAGGAGCCTCCCGCTTCACCGAGGTGGGCAGGCACAGATGGCTGACTGCATTTTGATCTGTGCCTCTTATTTGTAAAACACTCCCTTCTTTACGAGACTAGATCATCAGCAGGGGCAAGTGAGAACAGAATGATTTACTTTCAGCTCTGGCACCCCTCACCCTCCTCCTTGAAGGCTGTATCTAGAAACACAGCTCGGGCCTTTGATGAGAAAGGCTCCCAAAATGAGGGCTCTCGACCACTGACTGAGCAGGTCAAAGCAAGTGGCCTGGTGACGACCACCAGCCAAGCACAACAGAGACCCACCTTCATCACCACCAGGCTTGTCTGACCCTTATATCGACCATCCAAGGTCAACACGGCC